CAGAGAGGCCTTGGCCAGCTGCCCATCAGCTGTTCAGGGCTAATTTGGGCCTTCGGTGACAGGGTGGAGGGGGTGCTGGGAAATCCGAACATGGGAGTTCTTGGGGCTTGAGTAAAGCCAGGCTCGTAGGCTGGTGGAACACTTTGGGGCATACCGTCCTCATCCTCAAGTGGTGCTCTGCCACCTACCCCTCCATGAATCACAGTGCTTAGTGGAAATACAGAGTTGTGTCTGTCTCCTGCGTGTAAAATTGCCCAGCAGGGCATCTGGCTTTTGGTGGGTGGCCATTTCTGTTCACATCTCTTGCTTGGTGCCTAGGAGCCCCGCTTGAGGATCACCCCTAGTCCTCAGGCTTGCACCCGCACAGCAGGCCCGCCTCCTCCCCCCAGTGCTGCCCCTCCCTGTTGAATAGAGTGCTGTGTTCTCTATGTTTCCCTTGAGAGTAGGTCCTGTGACAATGAGCACAGGGCATGAAAGGATGCTAGAACATCTGATCTCCTCTTTTTCCTCCGAGAAAAGCTAAGCTGGTGACCAGGCAGGTGTGAGGACCAGTCCCTGGACCAGTGCCTCCCAGTGGCCCCCCATTTTTGGCAAGGACCAGAGAGAGCAGTTTGCATCACTCAGGGCTCAGTTTGCACTCAGTTTGCACCACCCTGGGGAGGGATGTTATTTTTATGGGGAGCAAGTGGAAGAGATGGGGTCCCAGTGGAGACCCTGAGCTCTGCCCTCCTCAGGGTTGCAACCACCTTTCCTTTTGGCTTTTCTTAAGTCACTGGCTGAGTAAGCTTTTCCTTTTTTTTTTTTTTTTTTTAAAGATTTTATTTATTTATTTGAGAGGTAGAGATAGAGCTCAACTAGGCAGAGAAGCAGGCAGAGAGAGAGGGAGAAGTAATCTCTCCACTGAGCAAGGAGCCTGATCCGGGACTCAATCCCAGGACCCTGGGATCATGACCTGAACCAAAGGCAGCCACCCAACCTACTGAGCCACCCAGGTGCCCCTGGGTAATCTTTGCCAGTTCCCTGGTAGCTAGGGAATGAGCCGCGCTGGGTCCTAAGATGAGATCTGGGCTCAGGGCGCCATGCCATCTGCTGCAATTCTGCTAGACCCAGCTCGAGGTGGCACCACGCTGAGTCGCTTTTCAATGGTGCCTCTCTAACAGCTACCCCACGGGTAGCTGTGTTTTGACGAAGACAGTCTTGGGGCACCTGCGTGGGTCAGTTGGTTAAGTGGCTGACTCTTGATTTTGGCTCAAGTCATGATCTCAGGGTTGTGGGATCGAGATCTGAGTGGGGCTCTGCACTGGGCATGGAGCCTGCTTGGGATTCTCTCTCTCCCTCTGCCCCTCCCTCCACTCACGCTTTCTCTCAAATAAATAAGTGAAAAAGAGAGAAAGAGAAAAACAAAGAAAAAGAGAGAAAGAAGGATTTTGGTCCAGAAGAACACCCTGCGTGTGGCGTGCACCAGAACCTCGAGCTGGAATGCTGGAGCAGAAAGGAGAGAGGGCAGTTTGCGATGCAGAGACAGATGCTTCTTCCCTGCGATGACCAGGCTTGCATGTGAGTTAAAACGGGTCTTCGTACTGAAATCTGCAGGGCGAGATCAGACATTTCCAGGACCCCAAAGAAGATGGAATAAGGCAAGGACAGTCTCCTCCATCGCTGGTTCGTTGTTTCAGCACACCTTTGACTTTGTGGGGCCTCGGCAACCCCCTCGCTCTCCCTGAAGATGGCCCATTGTTTCAGTCTGTTTAAACCTATCCGGAAGTCACAAGCTAGCTGAAGAGGGTAGATAAGCTTGTTGGTTGGACTGGTGGTGCGGGCCTGTAGAGCCAGGAAACAAATCTACGTATGAGCTGACCTCCTTGGCCACGTGGTCTGGCCCAAGAGACTCACTGGATGGACACTGCCATATGTCAGTGCATCTTCCAGCAGCTCAGCCACTGGGTCCTGTGTCCTGTGCCCCACCCTGGGCTATCTCAGATTCCAAGACACAACCCAACCCAGGGAGCAGCCTCTCCCCATTGTTTCACACGGGTTGGCGTTAACTCTGTTATCCTTAAGAAAAGTAGCATTTACTGGGCGTGTACACATCATGGTAGTGATAATGTTAATAACTGAGTACGTTAAGTTTTTACTTTTACTGAGTGCCAGGAATCATGATGGGTACTTGGAGTCCTGACTAGTGAAACTTGGCAATGATTCTGTAAAGGAGTTCTTTTTATTACTCCCATTTCACAGATGGAGAAACTGAGATTAAGAGGTTAGATGACTCGCCCTAGAACACACAAAGTGCAAAATGGCAGAGCCAGGATTTGTGCCGGAGTCTGGGTAACTTGAAACCAAAGCCATCACCGGAGTGTGGGGAGAAGTGGGCGGGGCTTGCTTTGTGGGATTCCCCCCCCTCCTTAGGAGCCCTTTCCACAACTTTTTAACATCTGCCCCTCCTCCAGGCATCAAGGATGGGCTAGCTTTCTGTAAAGGGCCAGGCAGTAACTCTTTTAGGCTTGTGGGTATAAGGTCTCTGGAACAGGTACTCAGCTTTCTCCTTGTAGTGCAGAAGCTGCCATAGACAATATATGAATGAATGGGTGTGCTGTGTTCCAATAAAACTTTATTTAGAAAAACAAGCATCAGGTGGGATTTGGCCCCCATAGACCAAACAATAGAGCTTGTTGGTCACTGGTCTAGACCAGGAGACATCTCTGCTAGGAACGATGATGGTCTGATAGGAGGTAATGTGTTTCCCATCCCAGATATACTTAGATTATAAAAGATCATCACTGAGAAGAGGCAATACCCTGCCTCCGTGGGCAATTCTACCTGTGTGGGAAAAGGGTAGTTGCTCTCTGACTTGCCCTCAAATCATACCCTAAGAGGGATTGTCTGGCAAGCCTATGTCTTTGGTTTGGGACTGAGAGGATTCACTAACTGGTACCAACCTGACATGTGTGAACGCTGACCTAGTTTGAAAAGGAATAGCTTCATTAAGTTCAGGTAGAAACACGGGGTGACATGTTGTGTGTCCCTGGGGAAGTCACTTCCCTTCTGGGCTTCCCTTTCCTCACACAGAAGATGGGGATGAGTCTGCTTTGAAAACCAAAGGGTCCTGTGCCAACTTGAGCAGTGATTCCCATGGTCAGCATCACTACATGGCCCTGTGCTCTCTTGGAAACAACATCGTGAGTCGTGAGGACAACATTTTCCATGCTTTGTTCTATTCCTGTTGGCTTCTCTAGCCACCAGAAAGGGCAACAGTGTGGTCTAAACAAGGAACAGAAAGTGCAGAGAGCCTGTGAGGGGCAGTCAATCAGTCGCCTGCTTAGAAACCACCAAGGGCTCCCCACTGTCTGTAGACTAAAGCTTAGGCGGCCTGCACTCAAGGTCCTCCTCAGCCTGGCTCTTTCCTGTTTCTTTCCCTGTGAAACTCCCTTTCCCCAACTCTGGTAGTCCCTGAATGTTCTTGGACATTCTCACTTATGTGCCTTCATTCCTATTGCTTCCTTCCTCTGAAATGTCCTCTACAGCCGGTTCCTGATTCCCAGATAGCTCTCCTCCCTGCTGAGGGCTGGCATTTCCACCATTGTGGACTCCTGTCTCTCGACAGTTAGGATATTGCCAGATTTTTAAAAGTGCAATTGTGCCCTTCGCCTTTGGCAACCTGACAGGAGCAGGTTCAGCTTAGAGAGTGTCATCTATCCCCCAGGGAGCCAAGCCAGGCCCATCCTACGTGTCTGTGGCCACCGGGATGGGAGGGGGGCAGAGGCACCTGCCTTGGTCCAGAGTCCTACAGGGGCTGACCACACAGAGGAAGGGAATCTCCATTGGGGGTGGGGGGTGGTGTATCTGGAATTCATTAACTGTTTCCTTTTTTGCTGTTGATGTTTCTGTATGCTTTTTTTTTTTTTTAAATAGAATAAATAAGTTAAATGATCCAAATGTAAAGTCAGGCAAATAGCTTAAGAGAAAAGATAACAGTTTTAACTCTATACAGTTAGGTAAAAGGTGGTGCCTTCCTGTGCAAGCCTGTTCATTCCCGCTCTGTCCTCTCTCTTGTTTCCTAACCTTACATGCCTGCATTCTTGCCGCTGAGTCTGGTAGTTTATTTCTCAGGGTCTTTTTAAAATTTTAACCGTGTGTTGATTTTGCCTCCTTTATTTTATACATTGAATTTTTGAGGACATTCTGTTTTTAGTCTTGGTGATTTCTCACCAGAATTTCTAAACTTAAATTCATCTTCTTAGCTACTCAAATCAAATATGTATTTTTTTCATTCTCTTTTATAGAAAATGGGCAGTACTGACTTTTTCCCCCTCCACTTTTCCACTTTCCTGTTCTTTACTATTTTAGTCTAAGGTTTAGATGCTCCTCCTTTGTTTCCCTGAACAGTCTCTTGTGCAAGACTTTCTGATTTTATCTGCTCTAGTTTACTCTTGTGCCAACAGGTGCACCAAGGAATTAGACCAGTGGTTCTCCAACTTGTGTGTGTGTGTCAGAACCTCACCCCCAGGAGTCTGCTCTAGTAGGTCTAGGGTAAGGCCTGAGAATTTACATTTCTAACAAGTTCCCAGGTGACCCAGGGATCCCAGTTTGAGAACCAAACCATCGTCTTGTGGATAATCATCCTTCCTCCTCTGGCGACTAGGTGACAGATGTCTGACAGATGTCTCCATGCTTGCCTCTGTGGTGGCATCTAGGTCCTGTGGCTTCACAGTCCCTGTGAGAAATCCTTTCCTGGATTCAGCTATTGAATTCTGGAGGTTTGTTTTGTTTTGGTTTGGTTTGGTTTTATTTATTTGTTCATTTAAGTTATTTCTATGCCTGACGTGGGGCTCAAACTTACAACCCTGAGATTAAGAGTCGCAGGCCACTCTGACTGAGCTAGCCAGGCGCCCAGAATTCTGGAGATATGCCTGGGGAAGGCTGTTCTCGGGAAATGATGGTGGCCCTCCAGTAGTGATGGCCTGTTCTCCTTTCTCCCCATGCCCCCATCCTCCTTTCAGCCTCGGCTTTCATCATAGCCATGCTCCTGGCCAGCCTCAATAGCTGCTGCAACCCGTGGATCTACTTGCTCTTCACGGGCCATCTCTTCCACGAACTGGTACAGCGCTTCCTCTGCTGCTCCTCCAGCTATCTGAAGGGTAATCGTCCGGGAGAGACCAGCGTCAGCAAAAAGAGCAACTCATCCACTTTTGTCCTGAGCCGCCACAGCTCCAGCCAGAGGAGCTGCTCGCAGCCATCCACAGTGTGACCCGGCTGGGCCAGGACTGCCTCTTGTGGCTCGGGGTGTGCCGGCATAGACAGTCTGCCCCTTGGTGGCAGTGTGCGTGTATGTATAAGGTACCTTTCAGTTTGCACCCTTCCACACCTCGGGGTAGCTTGAGTGGGGTGGGAAATTCTGGCATGGGTTGGGGAAGTAGTCTCCACGGTGGAAATGTTGGGGTGACTCAGCCATCAGACAGTCCCTGGATCTCCCCTGGCTTCCTACAGGGGTTTATACGCCCTGCCCCCACTGCTGCTCTCATTGGTTGATGGGTTGGTTTTATTCTCCTGGACCTGTCATTTCTCTCCAGTATCTTTTTACTCCTTTATTCTGGGATCTCGTGAAACGTGGTAAGTATGGGATTGGTGTGTGGAAGCTTACTGTTCTGAGCTCAGAATAAGGAGTGGGAGTGGGACCTCAGATGTGGAGGGTGGTGCTAATATCCTTCTGACTTTAGAGTGCTTTTACTTTTGCATGGAACCGTCCCAGCATTCTTGGGCACCAGCATGTCAGAAGGTAGCCCTAGGAACAGGGGATTCCCTTATGAAACCATTTGGAATTGGCAGCTGATGAAAAGTTGGGCTACAAGTGTTTAAGAAGCTAATATTTATGTGAAATAGTCAGGAAAGAAAAAGAAACAGAAGGCATCCAGGTTGGAAAAGAAGAAGTAAAATTCCTGGCAGATGGTATGATTTTGCATGTAGATAATTCTAAGGAGTTCATGCACACATACAAACCCATTAGAACTAATAAATGAATTCGTCAAGGTTGTAGGGTGCAAGGTCAATATGCAAAGACCAGTGGTATTTCTTTATACTAGCAACTCACAATATGAAAATGAAATTAAGAAATATATGCATTTATACTGGTATAAGAAAGAAAAAATAGGAATACTTTTAACAAAAGAAGTATAAGACTTATACCCTGACAACTACAAAATATCATTGAAAGAAACTGAAGAAACTCAGAGAAATGGAGAGACATCCTGTGTTCATGGATCAGAGACTTAAATATTATTAAGGTGACAGTACTGTCCAAAATGATCTACAGGCTTAATGCAGTTCTCTTATCAAAATCCTGGTTGGCTTCTTTGCGTAAATTGATGAGCTAATCCTAAAATTCACACAGAAATGCAAGGGACCCAGAATAGCCAAATGATCTTTTGGAAAGAACAAAGTTGGTGGATTTACAATTCCTGGTTTCAAACTTCACTACAAGGCTTCAGTAATCAAAGGAGTGTGGTACTGGCATAAGGATAGACATGTGGATCAATGGAGTAGACCAATGGGATAGAATGGAGAGTGCAGTTAAAACCCCTCCCATTCATGGTCAATTGATTTTTGACAAGTGTGGCAGAAGAATTCAGTAGGGAAGACAATCTGCTCAATAGATGGGACTGGGAAAACTGGTAATACACCTGCAAAATGATGAAGTTGGTGAAGGGGGTTAAGAGGAACAAACTTGCAGTTATAAAAGTAAGTCACAGTGATGAAAAGTACAGCACAGGGAGTATAGCCAATGATATTGTAATAACTTTGTATGTGATTACACTTACTCTTTGAGCATTGAATAATGTATGGGATTGTTGGAATTCTATCTTGTTCACCTGAAACTAATAAAGCATTGTATGTCAACCATCCTTCAATAAAAAAAAGAATGAAGTTGGGCTCCTACCTCACACTGTGTATAAAAATTAACTCAAAATGCTTCAAGCCCTAAATGTAAGAGCTAAAACTATTAAACTCTTAGAAGAAAACACAGGCATAAATCTTTGTGACCTTGGATTAGGCAATGATTTCTCAGATATGCTACCCAAAAGCACAAGGAAAGGAAAAAAATAGGTAAATTAACCTCATCACGAAACGGGGTACACAACCTTTGTGCTTCAAAGGACACTGTCAAAAAAGTGAAAAGACACCTCACAGAATGGAAGAAAATATTTGCAAATCATATACTCCTATCTGGAATATATCAAACACTCTTACCACTTAACAATAAAAAGACAAGCTGGTTTTTTTAAAGGGGCAATATATTTGAATAAACAAATAAATAGACATATGTTTATATTTTCTCCAAGGAAGACATAAAAATGTCCAATAAGCCCATGAAAAGATGTTCAATATTATTATTCATTAGGAAAATGCTTGTTCAAGCCACGGGGAAATGCCACTTCATACCCACTAAGATCGCTGTCCTCAAAGAGCTGGGCACTAACAGGTGCGGGCAAGGATGTAGAGTCACTGGAGCTCTCCCGCATTGCTTGTGGGAATAGAAAATGGTCCAGCCTCTTGGAAAATACTTTGGCTGTGCCTCAAAAAGTTAAACATAGAATTACTATATGAGCCAGAAATGCCACTCCTGGGTATTTACTGAGAAATGAAAGCATACACAAGTACAAGAACTTGGACATAAATGTTCTTGACACCATCACTTGTAATAGCCCAAAGTGGAAATAACCCAGATGTCTATCAGCAGATGAATGGATAAATATGGTCTCTCTGTACAGTGGCATGGTATCTGGCTATAAAAAGGAATGAAATCCTGGTACACGCTACAACACGGGTGACCCTTGAAAACGTGATGCCGGGTGGAAGAAGCCATTGCAGAAAGCCACGTACCGTCTGGTTCCGTCTTTGTGACATGTCCAGAATAGGCGAATCTGTAGAGAATGTTAGAGGACCATGCTGGCCAGGGGCTCCGGGCTGGCCTGAATGGAGAGTGAATGAGAATAGATGCTCGGTTTTGAGCGGGGAGGTGATGAGGATTTTCTAGAATTAGTGATGATGGTAGTTGAGTTTTTAGAATATGCTAAAACCACTGAATTGAATATTTAAAGGAAGTTAACAACAAAAAAATTTTTACCAGCTGGAAGGATGAATTCCTTAGACTCTCCCTGAGCTTCCATTTGTCTCTGTGACTCACCATTTAGGAGGAATGGCTCCTCAGATTTTCCACAAGAGATGGTGTTCCCAGTTTGGCCGAAGGAGCCAGTGGTGATAATCTCCCCATCCTGCTCTAGTAACCCCCCATCCTGCACAAGTGATGTCTTGTGGTTGCAGACTGTTGTGTTTTACTGACAAGAGCAATTCACCAAGGGTCTCAAAGGTTTTACTTACCTGGTAAACATGTTCTCAGGTGTCCTCTCAGCCTTGAGGAAGGATACAACCATGCCCAAGAACTACCTTTGGTTGTTAAGTACAGGATGTTCTAGATCAGAGGTTTTTCAGTGGGGACTGGCCAACTCATTGGCACTCTAGGGCACTTTTAAAAAAACGTCTATACATATTTTTTTGGACTGTGATCCAAGGAAGAGCACTTCCCCAAAGCCCACTCAACACACTGTCACTCTACACACTGTCCTCTTCTCCCTGCACAGTGTTACGCACATACACGTACACATTTATGCACATAGTAGAAGGAGCTGGCATGGTCTAGACATTCAGAGAGAAGTGAGGCATGCGCTAGAATGCCTGTATTCAGATTCTTAACAGTTAGTACAAGGTCTTCAGGACTAACTGGACACTGAAGACCCAGAGGCGGTGTTGCTGTGACATGTCCCGAAAGTGTGAACACCAGTGTGTCCCCGCTCTTCGGGAAGCTAATGGGATGCTGATTGGGGGACTCTGTGGCCATGCTTGGGACCCCTGGGGCACTCTGGGTGCACCTGCAGCCATGGTGGGGTCTGTTGGCTTTTGAGCCTTCCTGCTCACCAACCAGAGATGCCCTTGCCTCTGCTCTTCCTGGGGAAGCTGCTACCCTAATGGCTAACAGAGGCCACTGGGGACTAAGCAGACAGCGAGTCACAGATTTTTTTCACTAGGGGCACACCCTTCCTGAAAACCATGGAGAACAACCAAATTGGTGGCATTTGATTTCAGCAGCACCCGTGGCTCTATACCCCTACCCTCCCAGTCTTGTGCTGGAGAGTATCTTCACCATCTCAGTCCTTGTCCAACCGAGCCTGGAAGCATGAGTGCGGGGTCCTGATCACTGTCTGGAGCCCAGGTGCCCTCCTTCCCCGGACCCCACGCCTGAGGTCTGCATACTGTCTTCTCCCACAGTGTCAGACTTGTTGACAAACCACATGCGTGACTGGCAGTGCCAATCAATTGGAACATATAAGTTTTTTTCTGGAACGTTTCATTATTCTGGTGGTCAGAAGTGAAATGTGAACCCTTGAAGACTCCAAGCCTTATTTCTTTAGGCCCTGAAAAGAATAATCTGTCACACAATTTGTGCTCCTTTGGGGATGGATCTGTGGGTTACAACTGCAGGAGGCTGCCTTTTACAAAGATCCTGGTTTCAAAGTCTTTAGCCTTTTCTATTCAGTGGCAATGAAACACCACTAAATGCAAAATGTGAATTCCTCCATTTTGTTCTACCGTGGTGGTTTTTGTGGTAGCCTCGTGGACTGTGCCTGTCGGTGAATGATGTGGCTAATCCCAAGATGTCCGCTTCATCACCTGCTTTATAAAAGGCACACTGAACAAACTTTTTTTTTCATATGTTGCTTTGTCCTCTTTCTCCCTCCCTAAAACAGTGATTGTGTCTGGTGGTTTGCAGACTTGGAATCCCCCATAGGGCGGCAGAGTTTTCTGCCTGATTATGACAGAAGTACACGTGGGGTGTGGTGGGGGAAGGGGTGGGGGGCAGGGGTGGGGGGACCTGGTCCCATTGCCTTCGGTCATGATCTGTCAGAGTGCCATCAAAAGAGGCTCCAAGACCCAGGCACCGACCTCTTGGATATGACATGGCCACACCCACTGCGTGCCGCCGTCGAACTCTGGAGGTAATAGGATTCTAGACCGTCATCTCAAATGGACCTTAGCACATATTTCTTCCAGGGAGGTAAGGGGTCCATCTGCAGAACCACAGATGGGTTTGTGTTCGTTCCTGGGCTCCACGGGCTCACACTCTGGAGCTGCATTACGAGTACGTGTCCCTTATGAGCCGAATGTAGCATGTGAGAGAGAGTAGAACTCCACCTC